GATATGTCTTATTTCAAAAACACGATATATTTCCCATAAACTGTGCTTGTTTTTTTAGATTATTTTTTTAATTCCTAGCTTTAATATAGTCTATATAAGTTTAACTGAATTCGTTCGCCCTGTCATACTTATATTTGTTTATATTTCGGTTCACATCTATTGGTTATTTAGCTTACTGCTCTAATATCATTCTTTTCATGTTCCTACCAGTGATATTTATGAACTGCAAAGGGAGAAAAATAATAAATAAAAAAGCCATATTCTGGGTAAATACTTACAGATTCGGCTATAAAAATGACCAATGTCTACCTTACAAACTCTAGTATAAACCGGACCTAAGACTACCCTTTTGACTAGTGTAAACCAGTTCTATATCTACAATTAGTGTAAACCAAGCTTTATTTTACTTTATTGATCCATCTGTAAACCGGATCTATGTCTATATTTTTTTAGTCTCGTATCAACCGGACTCATGCCTTTTAGGCACTAGACTAAACCAGATCTATGTCAACATTTTTGATGCCAATGCAAAGCAGTCTGATGTTTTCCGTTTTTTTTTTAGTCTAGTTTTAACCGAACATATATTTTTGAATCTCGTGTAAACCGGTCCCATGTCTACCTTTTTGAAGCTATTGTATGCTTTGACTAAATGTCTGCGGTTTTTCACTCTAATTTAAATCAAACATATCTACCCTTTTGACTGTAGTATAAATCGAATCTATACCTACCTTTTTGAGTAGCGTCTAAACCGTCCATAGGTCTGCTTTTTTAATCTAATGTAAAAAGTCACTTTGTCAAACGTTTCGCGACTCGTGTAAACCATGTCTTTTATCTACTATTCTCGAATCAAATCTATTTCGCCGTGCCTATTAATTCTTTGCTATTTTTCTCTTATATTTTATTAAGCATTAACGAACACGACAAGGACTTATATGCTAAATTATTCCATCTCATCTATCCAGTTTTTTTCTCGTGTGCGTTACTGGTAATTGAGTAATCGAATAATTCCTTCTAATTTTCTCTTATTTCTCACTGTATTTTATTTGACTATTATTTGTACTAACTGTATATTAATTTTGCTACTCTTATTATCTCGGGACAAAGGTTGGAGGTCAAGTGACAGCAAGTTTCCTACTGCCGTCCCGATGGATGTCCAATTCTTCCAATCTCTTTGTAAGTCCCTTGGGAAAAGCTGCAAGTGTCCTAATGATGACGGACACAATTTTACGACCGTGTCCCAGATCTTATTATTATAAGTAATAAATAAATAATAATAATAATAAGAAGAAGAAGAAGAAGAAGAAGAAGATTTTGTCACAAAGATTAGGGAACTGGAACAAGGTGAAGCCTATAAGTACCCAGGAATTAGCGAAGGAGATGGGATACAACATACCCAAATAAAGGAGAAGGTAAGAAAGGAATACTACAGGTGTGTCCGTCTGGTACTGAATACCGAGGTGAATTCTAAAAACAGAATTTCAGTCACAAACAGACTGACTGTACGTGTGGTGCATTATAGTTTCAACATTGACAACTTGACCTCAGCTGACATTAAGCGAATGGACACCAAAACGAGAAAGTTTCTCACCTTCCACTACATGCAACATCCTAAAGCTGACGTTGATCGTTTGTATGTGCCTAGATCCGAAGGAGTCAGAGGATTAGTTCAACTAGAACTGTTTTATAAAACTACAACTACTGGCCTTCGAAGATACCTTGAAGCTACAAAAGACTAGATGATGATATGTCAAAGAACATGAAAGTACTAAGCGACTTTATTCATTAATAAAGGAAGCCAACAAGTTCAGAATAGAGTTTCAATGAGTGAAGAAATACAAATAAAGTACAATAAACCGAATGAAGCTGCAAAATACTTAAAAAAGAAAGCAAAGGCAAATGCAACTGACCGGATACAGAAACCATGACAAGATAAACTTCTTCACGGTCAATACTCTACCCATACCAAATAAGATGATGTAGACAAACTCCTACCCATCAGTGGTTACAAAGTGCAGTGTTAAAAACTGAAGCGGAAGGTTTTATTCTTACCGCAAAATACCAATGCTTGCTTACTAGTAATTACCAATCATACGCACTGAAAAATTGTGTCAGCTCAAAATGCAGATACCGTGACAAATATCTAGAAATAATTGGCCATCTTGTATCAGGTTGAACGGTGGTAGCATCCACTGAATATCAAAGTCGGTATGATAGATTGGGCCAATATCTACACTGGAAAATCTGAAACACTTACGGAAAGGAAACTGCAAGAAATTGGTATGAACACCACCCAGACCCGGTTACAGAGATGGGACCTGTAACAATTTTACGGGACTTTACAATACACACTGACAGAACAAACAAGTGTAATCGCTCAAATATCTTGATTAGAGACTGCAAAGACAAAATGTGCCTTCGTATTGATATGACAGTCCCTGAAGACTGCAATGTATCTTTGAAAATCTTCAAAAAACTATAGAAATACAAGGACCTTGAAATCGAAATCTTAAAAATGTGGCACATAAGGACATCAAAAATTTTAATTGTAGTTGGAGCCCTCGGATTGTGATTGGAAAAAGTTTCGATAGACTAATTAAAGGGATTTCTGGTGGCCCAAGCCTTAAAGAATTACAAAAATTCTATTCACAAGTACGGCTCACACCTTGTGAAGGACGTTATCTATGGAAAATGTGTATGATTTTACTTCCCTTCTTTTTTTTCAAAAACCTGAGATGAGGTATTATGTACACTATTTACATTATTCGGACTATTGGCCTCATTGTCGCCATGTTTTAAGCTCCGGCCTTCTTCAGGTGGTTGGAATGTCGAACTGAACCCTTTATTTTCGCTCACTGGGGTAGACTGTTCTAGTTCCACGTGCCATGTTTAATGGATGTCAGTTATCAGTTATTTCCTGTTAATTTCCATCTCCAAGTTCTCCACTGCCTTAACCGGGTATTGAACTTACACTCTTTGGGTCCTGTCACTGGATCTAACCAACGCCTTTATCCACTGTGCCATGTGTCCTTGGGTTCAGTTCATTCATATTTACCATTTTTATTATAATATTTTGTTAAAGTTGTTAAGCTCAAATATTTCACAATGGGAGAGGGGAATTTCTATGAATATTTTATTGTTGTAGAACTCGCCATGAGCTTATTCAATCATTAACTGAAGAATTAAAATTTATCAGAATATTGAAATAGGAAAACTGAAATTTTCACGAGTCATTCTACGTATTATTATTATTCCAGCAGTTGTATTCTTTGTCTTCATACGTTCTCGTCGTATCTTTATTATTATTATTATTATTATTATTATTATTATTATTATTATTATTATTTCCTTTGATTTCTGGCGTGTACACATTTCTTTCAGGGTCCCGCCTAGAGACCTAAGGTTAGAAATGGCATCATGACACTTTCCACTGAGAAAAAAAAAAAAAAAAAAGAAAAAAGTTTACATAGATAAAGCCCTTCGCAAAGTGTGGGCTGTACTTGTGAGAACAATTTTTGTATTTCTTTGAGGTATGGTCTTCCAGGAATCCCTTCAATTAGTCTACTGCAATCTTTTCTAACCATTCCTAGGGCTCCAACTACAACGGAGATTGTTGATGTTCCCATGTGCCACAATTTGAGATTTCCATTTCAAGGTCCTTGTATTTTGACAGCTTTTGGAATATCTTCAAATATACATTGCAGAGACTGCCATATCAATAAGGAGGCACTTTTTTTTGTTTGTGGTCTTTAATAACAATGTCTGGGCGGTTAGTTATTATCATTATTATTATTATTTACGTCGATTATTATTGTCTTATTAGTTATAACAGTTGTCTTAGTGTTAGGTGCTACTGTAAATTTTCCACTTTCTTATCCTCCTCCTCCTCCTCCTTCTTCTTCTTCTTCTTCTTCTTCTTCTTCTTCTTCATTGTTGCCTACTTCTTAATAGTTCTCTCCTCCTTTTTTTCTCTCCATTTTCTTATTTGTCGCTGTCGTCTACGCCGACTTCTCTTTCATTGCCGTCTCCTTCTTGGTGTTTTTCTGCTTGTTTATTGTCACCTTTTTCTTTTTCTTCGTTGTTTTCTTCTCAAATTTCTCCTTTTTTTTTCTTTCAACGTCTTTTTCTTCTTCTTCTTCTTCTTCTTCTTCGTTACATTCGTCTTTACTCTTTCATCGTTATCTTTTTTCTTATTCATCTTCTTTATCGGTGTCATTTTTTTCTTCTCTCCTTCAACGTCTTTTTCTTCTTCTTTGTCGTTGTCATCTAATTCGTCTTCTTGTCTTTCGTCATCGTCTTTTTCTTGACAGTTTCTTCTTCTTCTTCTTCTTCTTCTTCTTCTTCTTCTTTGTCGTTGTCATCTTTTTCTTCTTCTTCGTTGCTTTCTTCATCGCTGTCTTCGTCTCATTTTTCTCCTTCAGCGTTGTCTTTTCTTCTTCTTCACATTGCCAATGCTTTTTTCTCATCTTCATTTTATCTTTTTCTTCTTGTTAACACACATTTTTCTAATCAACTTCAACATTCCTTTGTTGTTTTGTTTTTGTGGTTTTTTTTACACAATATTTTTCTCTTTCTCCTTCATCGATTTCCTCTTCGTTTATTTTCACCGTCCTCAATAAATAACACCCTATACTATTTTACAACGCCCAGCGAGCCTCTTCACCTACCCCCAAAATAAACATAAACAATAAAAGGAACTGTCTGACGATATCAGAAACAAAATAAACAAACAAAAAAAAAATCATCCCACGCGCAGACATACCTTAAATGAGAAAACTGTCTTAGTCCTTTGCATAAAAGAGAAGAAAGTCGCTGTATCGGCTAGTCACGTCTTGTCCCAGCCGACGGCCACGCCAAGAAGCCTCTCTCTCAGGCAGTCAACACGGAGCAACTCAATCGAAGCGTGTATGCCGATATCGATTAGTCTCTCCTGGCCTGACAGCTTCTTTTCTTGTAACGGCGTCGAAGGGACGATCTACGCATCCTCTTTTAAATTATGGTAATTACTTGTTATTGGCTACAGCCGGGTCAGGGTCCTGGGAAAGGACGCTGGGGTTGCGCGAGGCGACAGAGCGGCGACGAAGGTCAGGAAGAAACCGGCTTGCCATGCAAGGGAAAAAGTGCAAGAAGAAAGAGTACCTTGAGGCTGGAAAGCTGCCATATTGTCTCGTCATTGGTGGCATCATCATCATCATCATCATCATCATTAGGCAAATTATTTAGCATTAATAGTACTATATACCCATTATTATTATTATTATTATTATTATTACTTGTAGTATCTGGTGGCAGTGAGGGTCCAGTGGTAGCAAGTCTCCTCAACATTTCAGCACCCATCCCAGTATTCTAGCTCATTTTAACAATTCTGTCCAATACTGTCTGGGGTAGTAGAATGATCTAGGGTGCACTGAAGAACCGCTCGAAGGAGGGAGTTACAAAATAAAAGGCACAGTTTATGGAAATATGTGAGGAAGATAACGATTGACACTATTGAATATCCACATTTTCTTCCGGGTCCCAACCAGATACCTAAGGTCAGAAATGGTTTCATGACATTTTTTACTGATCATTCAAAGATACATTACAGTGTGCAGGGACTGCCATGTCAATAAGAAAACATATCCTGTTTTTTTTGGGGGGGAGTTGTTATTATTTTTATTTTCTTTGATTTTTGGTGTTTACACATTTCTTTCCGGGTCCCGCCCAGGGACCTAAGGTTAGAAATGGCATCATGACACTTTCCACTGACAAAAAAAGAAAAAAAATATTACATAGATAAAGCCCTTCGTAAAGTGTGGGCTGTACTTGTCAGAACAATTTTTTTGTATCTCCTTGAGGCATGGACTTCCAGGAATCCCTTCAGTTAGTCTACTGCAATCTTTTCCAACCAGTCCTAGGGCTCCAACTACAACAGAACCAATCTTGTATCAGGTTGCTTATTATTATTATTATTATTATTATTATTTCCTTTGATTTCTGGTGTGTACTCAATGCTTTCCAGGTCCCTACCAGACACCTAAGGTCAGAAATGGTATCATGGCATTTTCCACTGAGCAGTTTTCAAAAAAATCACACATATTTTACGTAAATAAAACCCTTCGTAAGCTGTGGGCTGTACTTGTGAGAATTTTTTTTTGCATTTTTTTTTTAAGGTATGGACTAACAGGAATCCTTTCAATGAGTCGATTGGAATATTTTCCAATTAATCCAAGGGCTTCAACTACAAATGCAATTATTGATGTCCTATTGCGCCACATTTTTTTAGATTTATTATTATTATTATTATTATTATTATTATTATTATTATTCTGCTATAACTGTGCTTGTGTCCCCATCAGTTCCCACGACCGTTACGCCCAGCCAATAGCTCATAGCGATCTAGAGTGTACTGAAGAACTGCTCGAGGTAGAGAGATACAAAATAAAAGGCACAGTTTATGGGAATATGTGGGGAAGTTAACAATTGACATTAGAATTGAATATCCACATTTCCTTCCGGGTTCCAACTAGAGACCTAAGGTCAGAAATGGCTTCATGACATTTTCCACTGATCATTTTTGTAAAGAGAAAACAACCTACAATGAAACACATTTTACAGAGATAAAGCTCTTCATGATGCCTAAGCTGTACTTGTGGGTACACTTTTTTTTTGTATTTCTTTAAGGCATGGGCTACCAGGAATCCCTTCAATGATTCTATCCGGACCTTTTCCAACCAATCCGAGTACTCCAACTACAACAGGAATTACTGATGTCCTTATGTGCCACATTTTGAGATTTCTCCTTCAAGATCCTTGTATTTTGATAGTTTTCCGAAGACCTTCAAAGTTAGATTACAATTTGCAAGGACTGCCATATCAATAAGAAAACACATTATGTTCTTTTGCATTATTATTATTATTATTATTATTATTATTTCCTTTGATTTCTGGTGTGTACTCAATTCTTTACGGGTCCTGACCAGAGACCTAAGGTCAGAAATTGTATCATGGCATTTTCCACTGAGCAGTTTAAAAAAAAAAGATCACAAACATTTTACATATATAAGACCCATCGTGAGCCGTGAGCTGTACTTGTAAGAACACTTTTTGCATTTCTTTAACGTTTGGACTACCAGGAACCCCTTCAATTTATCTACTGAAAGTAGCCATTATCAAATAATTTTTTTTTTTTTTTTAACTGTATATATATATATATATATATATATATATATATATATATATATATGTAATTATAAGGATGTGAATGTTTTTTCCAAACACGGTCAGTACGTTGTGGCCATGTTCATACTTGATATTACTGAGTGTTTCTATTTTTATTATTATTATTAATGATGTCATTATTTTTTAGCCTTTTTTTTTTTTTAAATATCTATGTGGCTATTTATGGTCATATTATCCACAATTATGTGACAGAGTTTGTTAGGTTTCCGTGTGTGTTTAAATAGTTTTAATGGAAAAAATGCCAACATTCAATAAATTTTTCTGGAATAAGTATGATGATTCATAATTTATAGGTAAAAATAGGGAAAAAAAACGAGAACAATTCTTGCGAACGACGCGAAATGAGAGAATATATTAAAATATCTGTTAATTTCTGTTTTTTTTCTTGATGTTGATCTGCTACATTACAATGGGTGGTGTTAGTCATATACGGTTTTTTTTTTATTTTGTCAAGTGAATTTAAAGAAGGAAAAAAACAGTTTTAAACTCTAAAGTAAAGAAAGATTCCGAATTTATCTTACTATTCATTAATGCACAACAAAACAATGATCGGATTGTCCTTTTGTTGCCTCATGCGGATAAAGTTTAAAAGGTGTGCTATAGTAACTACATAAAAGACAGGAGAAAGAAAGAAAGAAAGAAAGAAAGAAAGAAAGAAAGAAAGAAAGAAAGAAAGAAAAGTTTCTAAATAAACGGATAGGAGTAAAAAATACGTCCGCAAAACACGACTGTGAAAGAAAGAAAGAAAGAAACAAACAAACAAAAAAACAAACAAGGTCTGCAAATAAAAGAATAGGAGGAAAAAGTATGTCCGCAAAACACGACTGTGAAAGAAAGAAAGAAAGAAAGAAAGAAAGAAAGAAAGAAAGAAAGAAAGAAAGAAAGAAGGTAAAGGATTCACGGAATCTGAAGAATTCGGCGATAATGTCTGTAGAGGAAGAGGAGAAAATTCTTCGGAAAAACTGAATTATAAATAAAAAAAAAAGAAATACTGTTTATAGGGAAAGGATAGGAGGAAAAACATTGAGGAAAACTGAAGAAAGAAAGAAAAAAGAAAGAAAGAAAGAAAAAGTCTCTAAATAAACGGATAGGAGTAAAAAAAAAATACGTCCGCAAAACACGACTGTGAAAGAAAGAAAGAAAGAAAGAAAGAAAGAAAGAAAGAAAGAAAGAAAGAAAGAAGGTAAAGGATTCACAGAATCTGAAGAATTCATCAAAAATGTCTGTAGAGGAAGAGGAGAAAATAGTTCGGAAAAACTGAATTATAAAGAAAGAAAGAAAGTCTATAGGGAAAGTTTAGGAGGAAAAACACTGAGGAAAACTGAAGAAAGAAAGAAAGAAAGAAAGAAAGAAAGAAAGAAAGAAAGAAAGAAAGAAAGAAAGTCTATAGGAAAAGTTTAAGGGGCGGGGAACACTAAGGAAAACTGAACTAAGAAAGTAAGCAAGAAAGCAAGAAAGAAAGAAAGAAAGAAAGTATCTACGCTAATCATTAACACATATTCGAATTTGTGGATTCTTACAACGAGACAAGCTTAAGATATTTAGAGTTAACCAAATAAAACAGGAAAAAAGAATCAACATAAAAGAAGAAAGAAAAAGATATTTCGACTTAATTTAATGAAGAAATCTGTCAAAACAATAAATCAGTAGACGTAAGTTTAGGTTGCACACAAAAAAATATTAGAGAGTATTTGGTTTACCGGAGAGTAAATAAAAAGGAAGACATGGGTTTAATTTTTACAACAGTAAAAAGATAGACACAGATTTGGTTTGAACGAGAGTCAAAAAGGTCGGCTTGCACGAGAGACAAAAAGGTAGACACAGGTTTGGTTTGAACGAGAGACAAAAGGTAGACATAGGTTTGGTTTAAACGAGAGACAAAAAGGTAGACACAGGTTTGTTTTGAACGAGAGACAAAAGGTAGACATAGGTTTGGTTTGAACGAGAGTCAAAAAAGGTAGACATAGGTTTGGTTTGAACGAGAGTCAAAAAAGGTAGACATAGGTTTGGTTTGAACGAGAGTCAAAAAAGGTAGACATAGGTTTGGTTTGAACGAGAGACAAAAAAGTAGACATAGGTTTGGTTTGTACGAGAGTCAAAAAAGGTAGACATAGGTTTGGTTTGTACGAGAGTCAAAAAGGTAGACATAGGTTTGGTTTGAACGAGAGTCAAAAAAGGTAGACATAGGTTTGGTTTGAACGAGAGTCAAAAAAGGTAGACATAGGTTTGGTTTGAACGAGAGACAAAAAGGTAGACATAAGTTTGGTTTGTACGAGAGTCAAAAAAGGTAGACATAGGTTTGGTTTGTACGAGAGTCAAAAAGGTAGACATAGGTTTGGTTTGAACGAGAGTCAAAAAAGGTAGACATAGGTTTGGTTTGAACGAGAGTCAAAAAACGTAGACATAGGTTTAGTTTGAACGAGAGACAAAAAAGGTAGACATAGGTTTGGTTTGAACGAGAGTCAAAAAACGTAGACATAGGTTTGGTTTGAACGAGAGTCAAAAAAGGTAGACATAGGTTTGGTTTGAACGAGAGACAAAAAGGTAGACATAGGTTTGGTTTGTACGAGAGTCAAAAAGGTAGACATAGGTTTGGTTTGAACGAGAGTCAAAAAAGGTAGACATAGGTTTGGTTTGAACGAGAGTCAAAAATGGTAGACATAGGTTTAGTTTGAACGAGAGACAAAAATTCATTACGAGTACTAAACAATTTTTTTAAATGTGTAGAATAGATAGTTTGAAATGCCAAGTTTTGCACTAATAGTTTTTTTACTATTTATTTCTTTAAAAAAAACTTTCCACAGCCATACTTAGTTACCTCCCCTTAAACAATGTCAACGATCACGCTCTGACTCAGCGTTCTTCATTCCACAAGTAAGTAATTTAACTTTCAGATGAACACAACAATTTTGTCTTCGACATTAATGAACACTACAATACTTGTCCTGTAATAAACGGAATAAAGGAAATATGTATTAACACGTCGACTTTCTCTCATCCTTCAATAACGTCACCAAAAAGCTTATCCGTGAATATGAAAGGATCCAATTCAAAATAAGTAGACAGAACATCCCAAATTATTCAACGAAAGACACACACACACACACACACACACACACACACACACACACACACACACACACACACACACACACTGGATTTCTTTTAGTGGGGGTTTCTAAAAGACAAATTTTACAGCAGGAAACCTGAAACAAATGCTGAAATAAAGAATAGCAATTGAAGAAGAATTTGCTCAAATACCAGAGGAAATGATACTGGACGTTTGTAGGTATATTTCTTCAAGATATGAAAAGTGTATTGAACAGAACGGCAACCATTTTGAGCACTTGATGTGAACTCATCATTATATGAACATTCTGCCATTGCCCCAAGTAGCTTTTATCTTATTAAAGTTTATTTTCTATGTCATTTTTAATATTTCACTCTCAAATACTTTAAATGTGTATTATTTCTCTTGTATTAATCTTATTTACAAGTCAAAATACATAAATTGAATAAGCTATAACGATTCAAAGAGTGCATACATTATTTGGAACACCCTGTATATATATATATATATATATATATATATATATATATATATATATATATATATATTAAAAGAAAAGCAGACCACTTTTAAGGTACCATCATAATAATTTATTTCACCAGAGCCCTTTTAAAGGACGTCGGATCATCAGATAGCACTTCCAAAAATGAAATGAAACGAAAAATCAAGTTCTTAATAACCTATATATATATATATATATATATATATATATATATATATATATATATATATATATATAATATGAAATGGACAAAAGTTCGAGAATTATTTTAAGACATTTATCTTTAAAAGAATGTATAAACATAAAAATGTCTTAATATATATATATATATATATATATATATATATATATATATATGCTAGTAATAAATTGGGGGAATTGTTTTCTGTTCTCATTAAGTAGGTATTTACCCTTGTGTCTCCACTGAGACGGGATGTGACACAATCACGTATTCATCACGGGTGACTAGAGCACGATACACCACAACCAAGGGCAGGAAAGAGCCTAGCCCCTGCAGCCATCGGTTGCGCTGCCCCTGGTATGATTACCGATGGCCTCTCTCTAGTGTATTGGAGAGGGGAAGCCTCGAGCAACTGCTTCCCGGGACCAGGCATCTCGGAGTATTCATTTTCCCCACCTGCATCTCTGTCCGTGGCCAGAGCCACAAATGAATCGCACTCTGTTCGATGACAGAGACGAAACTCAGGGATAATAAACCCTACCTGTCATCAGGTTATTAAGTAAAAGGCTAATCCATTTTAGACCTCGTACTTGAAATAAAATGACAGTTGACATTTTTTGGGACACATTAAGAAAAAGGAAGGCCTGGAATATTTAACTATCAAAAGACATAAAAAAAGAGGAATGGGTGAATAGCAGTATCCTAACTAATCGCTTTTAGTTGATTGATTTGATTGGTTAACAGCACATCAACTCCTTATGAGTCATTTAATGCCGATCTTTAATATTCTTAGGAGCTTTGAAGTAATAAAAATATTATGTATGTTATTCTGCTTTCACAATTGAATACATGGTAGATGATACTCAGCTTTTGGGCACATGCATAATTACCAGAAGTGGTGATATATTTGTTATATGTTGTAATTTTATTGAAGTTATATTTTGGAATGCAATTTGATTTCTTTAAGAAATTCTAGGATATTATATGGATTAATGTCATGAAAGTGTTATTTCGTGTTGGTTGATTTCGTTTAGCGGCATATCAACACCTCTATTAAATGCTTAAAACTAAATATTTTGAACAAGATTTTATGGCTTCAACTATAGATAAAATGTATTGTTTGTAATTTTACAACAAAAATGTATTTTCATAGGGTTTTATTTTTGTATCTGTCTATATTTCTGAGATGAGGTATTATGTACACTATTTACATCATTCGGACTATTGTTCTCATCTTTGTTGCCATATTTATCACAACGTTTCGGCTGTTGTAAGCTCCGGCCTTCTTCAGATGGTTGGAATGTCGAACTGAACCCTTTATTTTGCTCGCTGGGGTAGACTGCTCTAGTTCCACGTACCATGTTTAATGGATGTCAGTTATCTCCTGGTAATTCCCCTTAAGGCGGTGGAGAACTTGGAGAGGGGAATTAATAGGAGATAACTGATAACTGACATCCATTAGCCATTTTCTTTCGACGTTCCATCGGCATCAAAATTTGAATTAGCACTTAGGAGAGAATTTGAATTGAAACTAAGTTTATATAATTCAAAAAAAACTGCTGTCTTTTATTCTGCAACAATTCTCTGAGCAATTTTCTTGATATCATGCCTCAAGAACACTGTACAGCAATAATAAAAATAAAGTTTCTTTATGATAAAATGCTTAAAAAACCAGCTTCATCAGAAAGCTGCTTTGACATTGTGAATTTATCTATTTTATCAAATAATAATTACAAACTAACATTCACTATTTACATTATTCGGACTATTGTCCTCATCTTTGACGCCATGTTTATCACAACGTTTCAGTCATTGTATGCTCCGGCCTTCTTCAGGTGGTTGGAATCCTGGGGTAGACTGTTCTAGTTCCACGTGCCATGTCGAACGGATGTCGGTTATCTCCTGTTAATTCCCCTCTGAAAGTTCTCCACTGCCTTAACCAGATATTGAACTCACTCTCTTTGGGTCCTGTCACTGGATCTAACTAACGCCTTTATCCACTGTGCAATGTGTCGTTAAGGACTAAAGTGTAAGAATTTCTCGGTATTATAAACCTATGTCTTCAGAAAAAATTTTTTACCAATGCTCATATTGCAATTTTTGCTGTTATCATTGCATGTTTTTTACCAGAGCTGATATTGCAATTTTTGTTGTTATCCCTTTGCTGGTAATTTGTTCTTCAAAAATGTATAGCATGTAATTATTTTTTAAATGCATTGCTGGTAATATTTGTTTATTTTTTTTCAAAAAATGTATTGCTGGTATTATTTTTTTTTTTTTTTTTGCTTACAAAGTATGTCTGGTATCGAAACCTATTTTTACATTTTCATAATGTTTAGACCCCAGTTTGGGGTTTAACTATTTGCCCATAGTTGTGACCCTAACAAGTGCTACCAACCCGGGTCAGGGTGGACCTGGGAACACCAGGAATTAAGAGGTGGTTCCACACTCCTTAAAACCTCCTGGCCAGAGGCCTTGCTGTCGGACGTAGTTTATCGTCTTACCCAGGAGGTATGTGCCGTGTCCTTTCAGGACGTAGGCGATCATTGCTCTCCACTTCCTCCTATCTCTTGTAGCTCTCAGTAAATGTCATCCCTCTACCATCTCCCCTAAATCACGTTCTGTAATCCACGTAAGCCCGCTAGGTATGTCATGCGTTGTTTTCCCTTGTCTCTCTTTCATTTATTCGTCCTGTGAGTATCAGATTCTCCAAGTCCTCCTTTCTCATTACGTGTCC